TTTGTGGCTTCCTACTGCTTCCAGACAGACTGCAAACTCCCTACCAAGTTGCATAAGGCTCCATAGGGTCTGACTTCTGCTGATGGCTCCATAGGGTCTGACTTCTGCTGATGGTTTCAAGGGTGAACAAGGCCCCAGATCTCTACTCTAAGAGCACTCAACCCTACTCTTTGGGGCTCTTACCTATTGATACAAGTTTATTCCTCTGCCTGCAACTCTCCCTCACAACACTGTCCATCCTTCCATTGAAAATCCTTGTTGGCCCTTTAGAGGCTTACCCTGAACCTACAAGGTTGACCAGGTGCCATTTCTGGGCTTTTACAGTTCCCTGGGTCCCCCTTCCTGGTCCTTACCCATCTCTTTGTGTCCCACTATTCTGCCTTGATTTCTCTGCTAAGGTGCCCCACCCAATCCCTGAGCCCTCTACCTGTGCCTTCCCTTCCCACCTTGAGCCTGCTGCCTATGCCCCTGATCCTGCCCTGACCCTTTTGTCTGTGCTCCCTTACCCCAAGCTGACCTCTCTGCCTGTGCCTTCTCATTCCAGGACTATACATTCTGAGCTGTCACTGCCTTGTGACTGGTCTGTCTCCCCTCTGGAGTGAAAGCTGCATAAGGTCAGGGCCCAGGACTATCTTAGTCACCCCTGTGTCCTCAGCATCACCTAGTACAGGCTGACAAAAGTAGAGGGTTCAGTGAAAACTGGTTGAATGACCGTTAAATTTGTTGAATGGCTGAGGAGTCGGGTAAGGGGTGAAGATACCATGGGAGGGAGAATATTGTGAGAGGGTATTTAAATTGATCCAGTGGGAGTGACCTACCTCAGAATGCTCTTAAGATATACCTGTGTTGTGGAGGCTCCTTCTACTTAGTATGACCCTTGAAAACTGTGGGAGGTAAATACTCTGAAACATAAGGAACTTCTTGTTTGTTTTTTTAAAAAAGTTTTTAAGAAGGGAAATGGAGATAGGCCAGGGCTGTGATTAAATCCAAACAGAAGCACAAGCAGATCTCACATATTCACGTGTATGCAACGTGGCCCACGTGATGACCTACTATGCCAAAATGCACAGAAAAACATCTATGTACTCATAGATGGTTACCAGTGGTACATATGTTCACACAAATGTGAATACACAGTCACACATCAGGTTGGACACAGAGACAAACATGTAGACATCACCCAACAGGCATATCCCAAAATGTGAATTCATGTTACCCACAGACAGACACAGAGATAGGCATGCACTCAGGCACATTGGCAAGCACATGCACTTACTCTGATGTGCACTCACACAGATATGCATGTAGGAGCATAAACAGGTATGGATATCCAATTATGCACCAACACATACTCCACAAAGGCAGGTGTAGGCATGTGTTCATTTATTAACATGTACATGCTGACACATGCACTCAGACATGCACAGACACTCCAAGTATGTACCCAGAATGATACACATGCATAGATATATAAATAAGGATAAACAGGATGACAGAGACATCTAGGAGAATCTGCTGGATAGAATGACACAAACCTAAAGAAATCCAGGAGCACTCAACAGGGTTGAAAGGAAGGCTGACTTGCAGGGAGGGAGAAAGAAAAAGTCAAAGACAAGGGAATTGCAATAGAGAAGGATAAAGGGGCAACGTTCTGTGCAGGGTTCCATGCCCATCCAGAACATCCCCAGGTTCTAACACTGACCCACTCTTCTTCAGAAACTGTTCAATTCACTGTCCCTCCAGGAGGCCATCCAGATGATCAGTTTCTTATTCAGACTCAGCTGCACTGAAGAATAAATGGAGAAGGAAGTTCCCTTCAACCTTTTGTCTTCCTTCTTTCCCAAAGGAAAAGCTGCAGGAAATTTAGATCAACAAATGTAAAAGCCAGAATGGGGTATAGCAAAACTTTTGTCTATCTTCTTCATGCTGTGGATTGATAACAAGAGCAGCTGATACTTATTGAACACTTGCTGCTGTGTATATCACACACACTAACCCATTGACTTCTCACCAAAATCGCCAAAGAGGCAGGTACTGTCCTTGGTCCTACAGGCTCAGAGAAGTTAGGTTATGTGTTCAAGGTCACACAACAATGAAAGAATAAGGAAGGAAGGAAGGAAGGAAAGAAGGAAGAAAGAAAGGTTAGGATTTTAATCTATGTCTTAATCTTGCTCTTAACCATTGTACTATCCGTCCAGAAATGGAAACGGAGGCCTAGTGAGAGGAAGAGATTTTCTTCAATTCAGCACCACCTTTCTCTTCAGGCCTATCCCAGTCTACCACACATTGGCACATGTCCTGCCTCTAGGAGATAAGGTATGTGAGGTCAGACACTGATCTCTCACTCCATGTTCCAGGGTCAGAAACAAGGCCCAACTCACTTGACCTCAAGCAACTCTCCCAGACTTGTCCCCTCACCCTCTCCCCACCCAGCTCATGGCAGCCTGCCTAAACACTCAGGACCCTTCCTGATGCCAAGTTTATTGAGAAACAAACTCCCCAAAGTCCTGCCTGCCTCCTTCTCAAGGAACCAGGTGGGGAAAGAAAGGGCCCAGGCTTCAGGCCAACCCAGGTGCAGGGATGGAAACTAAGCTTTGGTGATAAGCATTCAATAGAGTATACAGATATCGAATTACAATGTTGTACATCTGAAATCTTTATAAAGCTGTTAACCAAATTTACCTCAATTTAAAAAAAGACAAAAAGAAAGATTAGGGGATTGCTACCTGCCAAGCCAGTGCTAATCCTCCTTCTCTTCTCTTCCCCCTCCAAAACCAACAAACAACTTTCCTCTCTCTGCTTTGTTCTCACACTTTGTTCCCTCCCTATAGATCTCAGAAGTTCAAGGGCCTAGAATTCTTTGAGCAAAATGCCAGTCCTGGGGGTGCCAACCTCACTTACCTGCACTCATCAGAGATTAGAGGTAGCATCTGAGCACAGTGGTCTAAACATTGGAGCCTGTCCAGTGCTTATCTGGGGCCCCTCTCAGGCCCACATGGGACCAATATCAGCACTTACCTGGCACTCATACCAGAGCCTACTGGGACCAGCCTCAGAGCCTGTATGGTACCACCCTTATACTTCCTTGAAGCCAGCCACAGAGCCCTCTTGACACTCAAGGTGGCTCTATTACTGTTCTATCAAGATCAGTGTCAACTTATTTTGAACTCTAGTGTCTTCCTGGAGACGACAATGCCAATGGGACACCCTCTCTCCCCAGAGCTACATGATGCCAATAGTATAACCTGCCAATGCTGATGCCAATATCAGCACCCATCTGCTGCTAAACTTGGCCCTTATGGTGGCTTAGGCCAGTTGATGGAGAAAGAAGGAGTGAGAATTCAAAGCCCAACTCCATCACTTATTACCTGTGACCTCCAGCAAGTGGATGTATGGAGTCTTGGTCTTCTTACCTGCAAAGTAAGAATAATAATGACCCAGACCTATTCCTACAAAGATTCAGGAAGATCCTGCATTGACTCAATCTCCACAGTTAGTGCTCACCAGGTGGGTAACTTTCCTTCTTATCAAGAAGGAATGTCGGTGAGGGAAGGTCAGCAGAGTAACCCATCCTTTCTCTTCTCTCTCCTTCAGCATCACAAGGCCCACTTCTCTTCCTGACACTAGAGCTTGCCCAAATCTCTCCCGATAGAGTTCCCTCTGCCTGCTAATAGCATCACTGATGAGCCAGGAATCATCCCTAAAGGGGACTTCACACACCCTCAAATATGACCTTTCCACTGGTGGAAACCAAATCCCAGAAGGAGGGAATAAAAGTGTAGAGCAGGAGAGACATGTGTGCCCCCTGTCTACTCTGTTTTCTACCCTCAGTTTACCCATACATAAATTTGGAAACATTAATAATATTAACAATAACAATAGAAATGATACAATCAACTTAATAGGCTTCCATAAGCATCTGGGTAGGGAACCCTTTCCTTCACACAGTTGAAATTTTTTTTGTACTGTGTTTTGTCATCAGTATTTCCTACTCCTGGCCCATCACTCTGCCAACTGAGACCATGAGTTACTACTCTCCAGTTCTGTGGAAAGTTTCAATGAACAGCAGCTCTGGTCTTCTTTTCCAACCAGAGTTAGGCGTTTCTGTGACATCCCATCCATACCTCACTTTGAGGTTCCAGTGAGAATTCTGGGCATCAGGAAATGGTATTGTGTCCAAAATAAAAGCAAGTTGACATCTGCAGTGAGAAGCTGACTACAAGATTCAGCTAGATTCTTCATATACAGTGTCTGGCACAAATAACACCCCTATTTCATAACAAAATCTTTTATTACAAAATCATAAGGATGTACTTCAATAATATAACAATATCACACTCAAGCACACCATATGACATTTTAGCTGAAATGTTCAATTGAAGACTATAAATTATTACACACATATTATTATCCTACCACCACATTCAAGCAAGCATTACTTCTGCTGGACCCTGTATCTCTCCCCACAGGAAGTCCACATCCACAGCTGGGTTGCTTCTAACTTCAGGACCCTCTAATCCATTCCCTAGATGCTTTCATCCTGAAACATTTACACCTCCATCCCTCCTCATAAAATGACCGCCAAACCCACAGCCATGCTCCTGTCTCATTCCAGTACCCTTAAATGTTTCACTATTCTCTCCTAAGAAACCAAAATCCACAACTTAGGGTGGGGGGCCTTGTCACTCAGAGATCCCAAATACCAAACTCAGGGGTTTATGCATGCAAAAATTACAGAATCTTCTGTTCTGCAAAATATCTACTGTCCCCACAAGTCCTTAGCCCTGGCCAAACACCTCACAAGGAGTCAAAAATTCAATCTTGGGCCCACTCCCTGTTAATCCACCAAGGAGGACCTGCCTCTTACATTGGCAGCATCCCAAGCTATGTTGGGGAGCACAGTGGGGAGTGTAGTTGGAACATAATATGACACAGTTACATAATCAGAACGAACATCCACCCTTCTTTCCCAGGAGGTATAAAGACAAACCATTCCAGCCATCACCATCACACTGTCACTCTCAGTGCCACCATGCTGGCCTCAGGGCTGCTCCTGGTGGCTTTGCTGGCCTGCCTCACTATAATGGTCTTGATGTCTGTCTGGCAGCAAAGGAAGCTCTGGGGAAAGCTGCCTCCTGGCCCACCTGCATTGCCTTTCATCGGGAACTACCTGCAGCTGAACACAGCACAGATGTACAACTCCCTCATGAAGGTGTCAGGAGGCAGGGAGATGGGTGGTAGGGTGGGGCTGGGGGCTTCTGCAGGCTGGCTGGGACTTGGTGGCAGGGGATTGGAAAGGGTGGACTGAACTGTTAGGAAGAGGGCATTTTGAAGGTTAGCATCAGAGTCCTAGCCAGGAAAGGCCAGATCTTGGGATGTCCAGTCCTTGACTGTCAGAACCTGGGCAAAATGCATGCCATTCTGTGAGGGCTGGGTACAGAGCCAGTTCAGACTTGAGGCTTCACACACTCACCACTCCCACCCCTCTCTTTCAGATCAGGGAGCGCTATGGTCCAGTGTTCACAGTCCACCTGGGCCCGCGGCGGGTCGTGGTGCTCTGGGGCCAGGAGGCAGTGAAGGAGGCTCTGGTGGACCAGGCAGAGGAATTCAGTGGGCGAGGCGAGCAAGCCACCTTTGACTGGCTCTTCAAAGGCTATGGTGAGGGGAATCCTGTGTGGGGGAATATGGTCAAGCCGACTTAGTGGCTTCAGTTTCCCCAGCATACTTCTGCCAACTGACCCACCCACTCAGGGCTGTGTCAGAGCCCTTCCTCTCCATCCCTGTCTCCATCCCTGTTTATCCCTGTGATCCCTCCAACTTGTCTTAGAGTGTCTGCATCTCCCTCCTTCTCTCTGCCCCATCTCCCAATTCTCTCTCATTAAACTACTCTCCTCTTCGTATCTCTTAGAAGCTCTTGGGATTTTTGCTTTAGAGGTCTGGTCCCATATTCTCATGTTGCTTTTTATCTTATTCTCCTTCTCATTTTTTTGTGCTTCTTCATGTTCCTCTCTCTATCTCCCTGCTTCTTTTTTTCCTTTGTCCTAGAATCTCACTATTTCTCTTTCAAGTTTCTCATACCTCCATTTCTTTATTTAAATTATGTCACTTTATTTAAATTATGTCACTTCTCTGTTTTTAAGATTTTATTTATTTATTTTTAGAGAGGGAAGGGAGGGAGGGGGAGAGAGAGAGAGAGAGAGAGAGAGAGAGAGAGAAACATCAATGTGCGGTTGCTGGGGGTCATGGCCTACAACCCAGGAATGTACCCTGGCTGGGAATCGAACCTGTGACACTTTGGTTCGCAGCCCATTCTCAATCCACTGAGCTACACCAGCCAGGGCCCTCCCTTTCTTCATAATACTCTCTTCTCTCTTGACCTTCTCAGTTTCTCCCTATATATTTTTCACCATTCTCCACCTCAGTTTTAGGATCCTTCTCAATTTTTACTTCCACCTCCCAGATCTCCAGATATCTCACTTTGCCTCCTTCCCTCCACTCTCTCTCTTCCTCTATTCATGTGAGTGTCTCTGCATCTCACTGCTTCTCTGGGCACCCATCTTTCACCTTGCCTTCTGATTTCCTTCCAACTTGGTCTCTTTTTTGTGTTTCTCCGTGTGTCATTCTCTACCCACACTCTCTCCCCCCCCCAACTTTCAGGCCCTGCCCCCTTTAAACCCACTCCCCACTCCTACCCTCCCCCGCAGGCGTGGCTTTCAGCAACGGGGAGCGGGCCAAGCAGCTTCGGCGCTTCTCCATCACCACGCTGCGGGACTTCGGAGTGGGCAAGCGGGGCATCGAAGAGCGAATCCAGGAGGAGGCAGGCTTCCTCCTTGAGGCCCTTTGGGCCACACGTGGTGAGCTGGAGACCCCAGGGTACTGAGGAGGAAAACACCCTACTAGAAGAGGCGCTTTATGACATGAGAAGGGAACTGGGTTAGAGAAAGGTGTCCCTGGAATTCACAGACTGGTATCAGATCACCAAGTTTTCACTCTCCCAAATCTCTTTTCTTTTCTTTTTTTTTAGAAAAGATTTTATTTATCCATTTTTAGAGAGGGAAGGGAAGGAGAAAGAGAGAGAAAGAGAAACATCAATGTGCAGTTGCTGGGGGTCATGGCCTACAACCCAGGAATGTGGCCTGACTGGGAATCGAACCTGTGACACTTTGGTTCGCAGCCCGCGCTCAATCCACTGAGCTACGCCAGCCAGGATTAAATCTCTATTCACTTACGGTTCCCAAACCTCTTCCCAGGTGCCCTCATAGACCCCACCTTCTTCCTGAGCCGAACTGTCTCCAATGTCATCAGCTCCATTGTGTTTGGGGACCGCTTTGACTATGAGGACAAAGAGTTTCTGTCACTGCTGCGCATGATGCTGGGAAGCTTCCAGTTCACAGCTACATCTACAGGGCAGGTAAATGGTCCTGCCATGGCTCAACATGGACCCTACCACAGCCAACCAATTACTCTTGCACATAGCCTCAGGTGCCCCAAATCCTATCCTCCTCTAGACAGGGTCCGCTCAAAACCAGTCTTCTCCCCCGCACAATTGAACCCAGAACAGGTGCCCAAAGCCCACTTTCCAATACCTGGGTAGCTCAGCTATACTTGCCCTACAAAAACAGAAGGGGAAGAAAGGGAAGAAGGAAAGAAGGAAGGAAGCGAGGGAGGAATTCCCAGCTGGAACCCAATTTACTTAAATTCTAGGACAAGGGACTTCACACAAAAACTTAGATATCTATTCCATCCAGTCCCATCTAAATGAATAAACATCAGGACAGGTGCCTTTAAACCAGTGCCTCCCTTGCCCTGAGGCAAGTCCCACTGCAATTTGGTGATGTCCATTAACACATGTCCTTACATGTCCTTCCCTTCCCTTCTCCATGCCCCACCCTCAGCTATATGAGATGTTCCACTCAGTGATGAAACACCTTCCAGGGCCACAGCAACAGGCATTTAAGGAGCTTCAGGGGCTGGAAGACTTTATAGCCAAGAAGGTGGAGCAGAACCAACGCACGCTGGATCCCAACTCGCCGCGGGACTTTATTGATTCCTTCCTCATCCGCATGCAGGAGGTACATGTCAGCAGCCAGTGGTGAGAGAGAAGTCACACAGGGGGTTGGGAAGGAAAGAAGCCCATTTATTTTGCCCACTACATCATAATAATCCTCACAACTCCAATCAATTCAACATCACTGTTCTCTCTACTGAGCCCTTACCCATAGGCTAGAATTGCATGTGCAAATCATAAGCACAAGCACATCTATAACATTGTCATGCAACATGCACTATTTTAACAACTTTATGGTTTTTACCTATTTAACACTCATACCAGTTCTTGTAGAGGCTCTACTATGATCTTGATTTTAGGAATGAGGAAACTGAGACCCAGAGAGTATAAGTGCCATGCCTGAGGTCACACAGTGAGGAAGCAGTGGAACCTAGCTCAAACCCTGGCCTCTCAAACCTAAGGCCGGTGCTTTTGGCCACCATGCTCTTACCTTTCATTCCCTGGTTGTAAGGTAACCTGTGTGGACAGGTGACCTGACTTTACTATGTGACACCTGAGGGTCCCCACTCCCAGCTGGATGTCAGTCTCCTTTCTGTGAAGAAAGGAGACGGGGCTTTATGGAGTCTGAAGTTCAAGAGGAAAAGACCAGGGCGTGGATTCTCCATAGTAAGCTGCAAGGTTTTCGGGGAGAGAATACTGTACAGCTGCTGAAAAGTGTCTGTGTTTCAGAAAATATCTCTTCAACTCTCTCTGAGGCAATCTATCATAGTCTGTCTACCTCTCCTTCTCATTCACTGTCTGTCTCTACCCCTCCCTTTCTAATATTTCTACAAATTAAAAGTGGCAACTAAGTTGGTAATTAAAGGACAGATATCTGGGTAGAGTGTGAGAAGAGCATTTGGGACAGAACCAGCAGCCTGGGAAAAGGTCTGGCACAACTGAGGCCATTCTTACCACCTTTGAGAGCATGGGGGAGTGGGCTAGGCCTGAAGCTGCCTCTCCCTGCAGGAAAAGAAGGACCCCAACACAGAGTTCTACTTGAAGAACCTGGTACGGACCACACTGAACCTTTTCTTTGCGGGCACCGAGACGGTCAGCACAACCCTGCGATATGGCTTCCTCTTGCTCATGAAGCACCCAGATGTGGCAGGTAAGGCTGGAAGGGGCAGAGAAATTAAGGCTACAGACTCTGAAAATTCCTCTGAGCACACTGTGCATCCTCCCCTCTCAAAGCCCTGGGCCCTCAAACACATCCTGCTAAACAAACACTAGGTCATGATATTCAGCTAAAACAAACTGAACTGATTAGTAAATAGCTCCTGTGCTGAGCCCACCAATCCCCAAGTCTCTTCCCTCACAGCTTCCCTCATGAATCTGGCACAACTACATTATCAGGACCCAGTGCCAACAATGTCTCAGGACAACCTGTTTAAATGCTTTCTCCATGTCACACACAAAGGCATACATGTTATGTATGCAGTTCTATAGATTTGGATTATCATCCCTGCCCAGAGACCCCTAAGTGCCAAATTCTCCCTTATCCCCCAGCCAAGGTCCATGAAGAGATTGACCAGGTGATTGGCAAGAACCGTCAGCCCAAGTTCGAAGACCGAGCCAAGATGCCCTACACAGAGGCAGTAATCCACGAGATCCAAAGATTCGGAGACATGCTCCCCATGGGCCTGGCTCGTAGAGTCACCAAGGACACCAAGTTTAGAAACTTCCTGCTACCCAAGGTGCTGCCCTTACCCAGTCTACATAGATCTCAAACCTGATCCATCTGACCCAACACTCCACTCTCCTTACAAGCTTTCCAGTGCCTGTCTGACTCCCTCAACTGCAGACTCCCTCAATCACATGTCCCTTCAACTTTCCCACTTAGACAACTGAATCCCATGTGTACCTAAGACCAGTTGCCTTAGGTCTTAGGTACATATGAAGTCCATGTCCCCCAAATTTTGTTTTTCAGGCAACATTAACTTCACTTCCCAGGCCTGCCTGCCTCTGGGACATGACTCTCATGGCCTCCAAATATCCTGTGTTGAGTGACATCACCCCATAACCCCCAAACCACCTGCCCAAGGAGACATAGATCCCAGGTTCCCCGAACTTTTGGTCACAGGGAATTAAAAGTCATGTCCCCCAAAGCTCCTACCTCAGGAAAGACCCTGACTCCCCTGACTCCCATTTCTCCTCACCTACAGCACCCAAATACCCCCTCTGACTCCATGAGCTCTCGGCGCACACATCCCTCTCCCACTTATCAAATCCCCTTCCACCTCCCCACCAGGGCACCGAAGTGTTTCCAATGCTGGGCTCTGTGCTGAAGGACCCCAAGTTTTTCTCCAACCCTCTGGATTTCAACCCCCAGCACTTCCTAGATGAGAAGGGGCAGTTTAAGAAGAATGATGCGTTTGTGCCCTTCTCCATTGGTAAGAGTCCAGTGTGTGATGCCAAGCCACCAGTCGCACCAACAGGGGCCCCTTCTTCCCAGTTCCCCTCTCTGAGGCGTAGCCTAGTATCTTCCTCCAGCTCTGAAGTTCCTCTTATGATCTACCCTGCAGACAACCAACTGCAAACCTCATAAATAACAAGTACCTAAGCCCAGGCAGAAAGAAAGGGATGATTGCACCCATTTCAGAGATGAGAACAGTCAAGGCCCACAGTGACTCAGAGACTTGTCCAAGGTCACTGAATTTTTTCAGAGTCCTAAGAAGGAGATGGCAGCACAATGGCCATATTGGTGTATTTCAGAGGAAGGGCCATGTAAATTCCCATTGCTACATCCTGATATGACTCACCCCCCTCCCACATACAAGGGAATCTGAGGCTGAGGGATGTCAGGGTTTTTCTGAAGGTGTCTCAGGCCTTGAGAGACTGTCCCCGCCACCCTCACCCAGGAGAATACATCAGGAATTGGGAGAGGAGTGGACCTCACCTCCTCCCACCTGTCTTTTCAGGAAAGCGGTACTGTTTTGGAGAAGGCCTGGCTAGAATGGAGCTCTTTCTCTTCCTCACCACCATCATGCAGAACTTCTACTTCAAGTTCCCGCAGCCACCCGAGAACATCAATGTGTCCCCCAAACATGTGGGCTTTGCCACCATCCCACCAAACTACACCATGAGCTTCCTGCCCCGCTGAGCTAGAGCTGTGACTGCTGCCACAAAAGTCCAGGGCTAGTGGGAGAGCAAACGGAAGAGGGGTGTGGCCTGGGTGGGCCTAGAGTTAGGGGCAGGGCTAACAATAGAGTTAGGGGCAGGTAGGAAGAGGGCTGGAAGAAAAGAAGGTGCAAGGTGGATAGTAGAGGAAGAAAAAACACATGAGCTGTCCATTCACCTTGCTAGAGATTGAGACTTCAGAGCTGGGATGAAAGGAAGCAAAACTTTACACAGTACTATGAGTGGTAATAATAATGGCTATTATCTATTAACATGTACTCTGTGTCAGCTCTATGCTCAAATCATTACACACTTGCTGCCCTTGATGCTTGCAAACCTATGAAACGGGAACTGTGCTCATGCCCATATTATGGAGATACAGCTGACACTCAGAAAGTCTCTATCTGAGATCCAACAGAACAGAGTAAATGCTCAGCAAGTACTTGAACTCCGATCCACACAGGGAAGGCTATCCTAAGCCTACTGAACTTTGTGCAGGTTCTTAAAAGGCACCTCTTCCTAAAGTAAGATATAACAGCTTGTATATTATTATTCAATGTAAAGGGGTCTGTCCAAGGATTTTTTCAGAGTCCTGGCAGGCAGCCAACTTGCTTCCATACACTTGCCTACACTCTTGCTCATTGATACACATTTTACATGCCAGGGCATAGTTGTCAGGGCAGGGTAACTGTGTGAGCCAGGTGATGGAGTCTAAGATACTGTGCTCCTGCACAGTGGCTCTGTGTGGAGCAGGGCTCAGAAAAGGAGCATGATGCTATCTGCAGTCCTGTCTGGGAACAAGCTGTCTCGCATCTCTCGTCCTGATGCCAGACACTTCAGTTCCTCCCCATATATCACTGGTGTCCTCCAAGGTGCGGCCCCATGATGGAACCTGGAGGGAGTGGGTCTGAGTAAGTCCACGTCTGGGGCCCTCCAAGGGGAGAAGCCTGAACAGCCCACTGACCCAACCCCCACTGGTTTTTACAGCCAGAAGTTATGGGGACTTAGCTTCCTGGCACTGGAACCCTGGGCTGGCTGGTCTGGTGTGGGCTGGAATCCCTCACTCTTGAGATGTCACCCCAATTTATATCCACCTCATATGGGTTTGGGACCAGCCCCATTCTATATCTCCCTGTCTCTGCCCCTCCACCCTTCCTACCCATCTGTATGAATGTTGTTTCTTTAATTCCTTAGTTGTCAGACTTCCATACAGCTCACATTTTTCTGATGGTTGTGAGTGAGAGCTCTTCTGTAGTTTGGCTGTACTTTTGCTGTGGTTGTGTGATGAGGAGACCCATGTTGACCCACTTCTTCATCTCTACCAGAAACTGTAAGACAGAATATTATTATTATTTTTGTTTGTTTGTTTTAAACTTTTAGATTGTACTCATTTATTTTTAGGAAGAGAGGAAGGGAGGGAAGAAGAGTGGGAGAGACACATTGATATCAGAGAGAAACACTGATTGGTTACCTCTGAAATGGCCCCCACTGGGGACCTGGTTCACAACTCAGGCATGTACCCTGACTGGGAATTGAACCTCTGACCTTTTATTTCACAGATTCGATCCAATCCACTGAGCCACACTTACCAGGGCTAAACGAAATATTATTATTTGGAAAGACAAAAACAAAAGCTGGGTTAGTTTGGATAGCTTCCAGAAGTATTCACTGTGATGATGTTCCTCTGAAGCAGGCTCATTCTCCCAGACCTGGCTAACTTTCCAAATCACCTGCATGTTCCATGCTTGAAAGTAGGAACATTCAGAACATATGGCACACTGGGAACACCAATATTAGTCCAGGTGAAAGGTGAGTTTGGAATCACAGCTAAGTTCAAATATTAATTCTCTAGAAATTCATATTAGTTGAACAAAAGCACAAAGGAACAGAAGAAAAGTTTTGATGGGGAAGTTAAACTATGCATTCCAGTAAGTTCTTCTGCTCACAGAACACAGGATGAGCCACAGGTTGGAGAACGCAGTTGGAGTAGCTGCTGCAACTCTTGTGTGTCGATTGATGACACAGTGGGTCTGAGCTGAGTCACAAAGGGCATCTCAGTGGGAACTTTATCTGTTAGGCTTCTTTCTTATGTCACTAAGCATCCAAATGGTTAGTTATTTTCTGCTGTATGATAAACATGCAGAAGAGTCAAATAGCTAAGAGTGAGATTTTTAACTGCAGCCATTGAAAACTTAACTTTGCTGCAGAACTGTGTTTCCCAAAACTCTATATTTTAAAGATTTTATTTACTTATTTTTAGAGAGGAGAAGCAAAGGAGAAAGAGAGGGAGAGAAACATCAATGTGTATTTGACTGTCCCACACCCCCTACTGGGGACCTGGCCTGCAATCCAGGCATGTGCCCTGAGGGGGAATCACACCAGCAAACTTTTGGTTCACAGGCCAGCACTCAATCCACTGAGCCACACCAGCCAGCATGTGTTTTGCTAAATTCTGCTATGAGCAATGTATTCCTTTATTTGAGTGATACTGTGAAATGTGAGAAAAGACAGAAGAAACAACTTTGAAGGGGTAAAAGCGCTCTTTCCCTATGCATGGTGTAGGGCAGTGGGTGATGACAAGGAGAACAGGACTTAATTCCATTTTACAGGACAGGAGCTCCTGTCACTTTATCAGTTTCTGGCACAGTCAGGGCAATACACTCACTCCTCATGGAAAACAAAGTACTCTTTGGCCAGGTTCATGGGGCTTTTTTTAATCTTTTGCAGTGGAAGCAGTAGTCGTGCCAGGATTGTCCTTCATGGGCCACCACACTGGAGGCTTTACCAAATCCAGTGGTGGGTTCTTGCATGTGGCACACTTCTTGGCCACAAAGTCCTTGAAGCCATCCACACAGTAATACTGGTCCTCCACAGTGGTGAAACGCTGCCCAGCCCGCTTCTCAGAGCAGTTAACACACAGAAATGCGCTCAGTATCCCAGCGTTTACCCTGGTAAGTGATTCCTCCAGGTGTGATGGCCTTGTTGGGTTTCATGCAATGCTTGGCCAATTAGGCCTCATGGCAAAAGTCATGCAGTAGAAGTCCTCCCTTTAGGGAAGAAGTTTCCTGTCCCGACGACTGGCTTGCACCTGCTGCTGGTGAAGTAGTCTTTGTGCCCGACGGTCCCCATGGACCTGCTTCTAATCTCCTGCTACAATGGGCTTGAAGCAGCCCTTGGACTTTAGGGAGTCCCCGTGCATGGTGCACTTGTTGCACAGGCTGTTGTTTTCCTTGAACACAAAGGTTTCTTTGGCCAAGGGGTGCAGACCCCTATCACAGTGGTAGCAGGTGTCATGCCACTAGCAGAATTTGTCTGAGCACTTCAGGCAGCAGTGGTGGCCATCCTTCTCCAAGCACTCCTTCCCCTGCCAGGTGTCCCTGTGGTGGTGACAGCCAAGCTTCTCAGCCATGGTGCACACCTGCCCCAGGAGGGGTCTCACACTAGATGTGTGCACAATGGGATATATTTGGCAAGGGTTGGATATACTTGTCAGGAACTTCCATTGTGCTGCCTGAGTGTGCTTGGCAGTGCAGCTGTCCTGGCAGGGGCCTCCATCTGCACCAAGACTGCAGGCTGGCCAGCAGCAGTGGGGGTGGTGGCAGACTCTGACCACTTCTTTACTTTCTGGCACTACAAAATGTTCCTGGATTGGCTGATCTTCCTCCTGCCCCTGGCCTGGAAGCCAGCACTGCTCCAAGGTGTCCTGGCTCCTCTAAGCTAGTGGCAGGTGAGGGAGAGGGGTTCTGGTGGAGCAAAATGAGAGCTCCTGTCTACCAAGGGCCAGTCCAACTGTGAGAGTCTCTTGTTAACACAGGAAAGGTTTAGAAGGGGTAGAATCATTGCATTCTGGAACCTGAGAATCCCAGACCCACCCTATTAAGACTAATACACCTGGATTCCTGCACAAGAAAGTGAGAAGAAATTACCCCACGTCCACCAAATCCTTTCCTGAGTCCACTTTCTATGTGTCTGCTGGGATGCATGGTGGTCCTCTCTCCCCTTCCATTCCTGGGCCCAAGGAGCTCCGTGCAGAAGAGAACACTCATGTTTCCCCAAGCCTTCTCCATTACAACCCTGGGGACTCAGAGACACTTGCACTGACATACAAAGGGTGGAGGACATTGAGGAAGTGGCTTCCTTAACGAGTCACAGGCCTGGAGAGTTGACCTGGGTCTGAAAGCAGAGATAGGGGAGCTGATGAACTGAAAACAAGCCTAAGGTGCTGGGGATTTTGGTGGAGCAGGAGAGGAGCCTCCTTCCATGGGGACATCAGTGGGTGAGAATACACCACTAAGCAGGTCCCCTAGTGTCAGCGATAGTGGCTGGACTAGGGAAGAATAAGCAAAGGAGAAACTGGGGGAAGGGCACACTTGGAAGAAAGTCATAGGCAGACTCAAAGAGTTCCAGATACTGCACCTCAGTGGCACAGTTGACAGTCAGAGAGTGTTAGTAGTAGTGGTGGTGGTATTACTATTATTGTTGTTGTTATTAATCCTCATCAGAGGATATCTTTATTGATTGGGGGGACAGAGAAACATTGATCAGTCATCTCCCACAGATCCATATGTGCCTGAGGGCTAGAACCCCCACCCAAGGTACCTGCCCTGACCCGGAGTCAATATGCAGCCTTTTGGTGTACAGGACTTCACTCTGACCAATTTAGCCATCCAGCCAGGGCAGTCAGAAGGTATTACTGAAGGACTATGAGGAAAGCCAGCTTGTATAGTAGAAAGCACCAGATTCCCTGGGTACAAACACCAAAGCTTTGCAGAACTGCCTGGGGTGGAGGGGCAGTGAAGAGAGAAGCACAGCTGGAAGACATCAGGAAGGGAGACATCACACACGGGGAGCAGTCAAATGCAAGCTCTTGGAAGTGGGAGGTTCCAGAGGTGGGAGTGAAAGACAGATGGAGAAGGGGGATGCATGAACCACAGGAGAGACAGCAGCCACAGTCAGGAGGACCAGCCAAGGCCATGGCTATTTTCTGCTGGAGCTGATAGTGGTGCCTACCTTAGATGGGGCATCTGCTCTGGGCTCCAGTCCCCTCCCAGGCCAAATCACTTGCTGCTGACCTGTGAGGGCCCCTGGGGAATTTCAGTGTGGGGGCACGTGGGACTTGGGTATTAAAGGGCTTTCAATGCTAGTGTGGGGGGCCTGGATTTGTTTCCTAGGTCCCTGAACAAGGTTGCTGAGCAATGGGTCTCATTGCTCAGTGCTCAACTCTCCAGTGACTAGTAGAGATGAGCTGAGGAAGCTCCTGGCTGAGACTGAG